GCCGCCGCCGCCGCTAAATGCTGAGCAGGATGGAGGAGTTTCCGAGCGAGGAAGAGGAGCCCTGGTACGACCAGCAGGACCTGGAGCAGGGTAAGGGAGAGGGCCCGGGGGCCGCGGGGGAGCTGCCCCGGGGAAGGGGCACGGCGGGATGTCCCCTGCTTCGCACGCCCGGCCTTTGGTCCTGCGCTGGCACCGCCGCAGAAATCCCGGCTGCTCCCAGCCGCTGTCCTGGCCCTGCGAAGTTGAGACCCGGTTCAGATGCAGGGAGGGAGCCCGGCTCCGGCCTGAGCACCAGGAGGGGCCGTTTTGATGCGTGCCACAAAGCCGGGGCCCCGGCAAACTCGCCGCAGGCGGAATCGCACCCGGAGAGCAGCGAGGGGCTGCTTTAATCCCAGCGCTGCTCGAGCTATCCGACACGCTGCTTGGAAACGAATACAGCAGCAATGATTTACTGTGGAGCTGAGGATGCTGAGAGTGTTTCCCAAAGGCTCCCGCTGCACCGGCCTAAATCCAAGGGGAGCCGAAGCTTCTAAATCACCAAATTACTCACGGAGATTTTTACGAGGCAGCCATAAAACCAGGAGGAATGGGGAAGGAGAGAAAAATCAATGTCATTTCCAACAGCAAAATTAGGCTGGCTGGAAAGAGACAAACACTCGCGTAGCGTGGTTTAAAGTAACTGTGCTTACATTCACACTGGTTTTGTACCATCTTTATCTTAGTGCTGGACAGCTGGTAGCTGGGTGTATTTGGGGATTTTATGTGTTTTCGTTTTTTGGTGGTTTTATTTTGGTTGTCTTAACATTTAGAGTCAACACACAGTAAGCAGCAGCTGGCAGAAATCCTGTGTCAGATGAGGGGTCCCCAAAACAACTAGAATAGTCCACGTACAGGGAAAGTCATTCACACCCAGGTAGAGGCACTTACTTGAGCCAGGTGGCTGCCTGGGAGGACGTGTGGTCCCGGTCCCACCGCAGCGCCGCTGCCTCGGCCCTCCGGCACATTTGGGCAGGATGCAAAGTTTACACAACTTCCTGCAGGGCAGAGGCTCCGCAGGGAATGACAACAGCCCCCGGGGATTTTTACCGTGGGTTTTAACCCCAGCTGCTCGGCTAACGGCAGTCGCCCCGAGCAGGCCCCGCTCTGCCAAGCGCCGCGCTGGGGTTGAGCCAGCGCAGGAGCAGAGCTGGAGCTCCTTGCTGAATAAACAGTGCAGCCTTTGAGCGCTCACCAATTCGCATCTCTGGTGACGTCTTCGCGCCGCTCACAAGGGGACCGGGCGCCGGGCCAGGATGGGGCTGAGGAGCAGCGGCGCTAAGGACGGGCGCGGGAGGCTCGCGCAACGCGGGCGCGAGGGGTTTTTAGCCCAGCGCTGTCACTGCTCTCGAGTTCATGAGTCAGCACTGCTGAGGTGCCACCCAGAGCACCTTGCCGTGGGACAACAGCTCCGTCCCACCCATGGGCACGCAGAACTGGCACCCCATGCTGCAGAGAGCCTCCAGCTTGGAGCATACATAGGAAACGGCCCCCAGACAAAGCCCAGCGGTGGGATTTGCAGCCTCCTGGAAGAAGGAGAGGGCTGTGGTATACTAGGCAAACCCAGAAGGAGGGTGTAACTGAAACCCGCATGCGGGGAAGGTCCTGGGGGGTAACCACAGGCACCATTAACTGGTGGGATGCACAAAGTGCTGCAAAGGCCAGCGCTGGGTTGTGCCTGTGCCCACCGTGCCTCGATGCTACGGCCCTGGTGACATCCAGGGCACTCTGGTGACTGCACAGCTGGGGCTGGTCCAGCACAGCGCGCTGACGGCCAGACAGCAAGGACAGGGACAGGCCAGCGGGCCCAGGCGGCACCGGGAAGGCGGCCGACAAAAGTGCTGGCTGAAAGAGGCTCCTTAGGAGCCGGAGCCGGGAGAAGGAAAAGCTGGAGAAGGTTTCTGCACAAGCCGGGTGGTTGCCGAGCCTTTATCCCCGTTTCCCAGTATCATCAAATATTTATTACATTTACATCCCAAACTGTTTGCTAAGCAACGGCTGGCTTAACCGGCAGCTCCGCGATGCTTATGTTAATTAACCATTTTAGCCCTGCCGAATAAATCGTGTCTCCAGCTCCCCTCCAAGCACCTGTTACTTCCCTCCCCCATCCTCCAGCTCCAGCTGCTGAAATAACACGCTCTGAGGTGAGAAAACCACCTACAACCCCTCCGGTTTTCCGAGCCACCCACCCTGGGTCTCAGAGGTGGCCGGAGCTGGTCTCCTCGTAGCCTCGCTCCGATGGAGCCGGAGCCGCTCCGCTTCCTCCACCCGTTTCGCCTGCTCCAAGGGCTCATACTGACCTCAGGTCCCAGCCAGGTGATTGGCCAGGGACAAGGGAACAGTGCTGGTGGCCCTGGAAGTGCCTCATTCCTGTGCTGTTCCTTTTCTCATTAAAGGAAGATGTAATCCCCTGCAGTGCTGACTGCTTGCTAGCTGGGCTGTGCTACTCACTAGGCTTTGGTGAGCCCAGTCCATCACATCTGCATCCAAGTGGAGCGGAGACCAGGCCCAGCAGCTACCTGCAAGTCACCTCTAGCCTCAGTCTCCCGCATATCACTCTCCTCAAGCAAATCCTTCTCTCATCCACCCTGCCCAATTCCCCGATTTTCCCAGTCTCCCCCTGCCAGGGCTTAGGTTGAGCCAAGAAGCACCAGCGTGCGGCCTAAGAGAAGGGCTCCAAGTGCCCCGAGCCTCGAGACACGTCCCCTGCGCAGATGAAGCCACCTGGCACCGCTCCGGTGCCAGCGCAGCACCTCGCTGCCACGGCAGGATTGATTGTCCTCTCGTCCTGGGAAGCCACGCAGACTTTTGGGCCAAGCTGTCTGCAATGCAGAAGTAGGGCTTGATGGCTATAACCTCCAAAGGTCTCCAGATCTAAGCATCTTATTTTAATTCCTCCCCCGGCCAAACACGCGGTTGGTTGCATGCTAAGAAGGAAAATGATGCAAGGTGCTGAGTTTGCACTGCTCCCAACTCATCCGTATAATAATAGGGACTCACGGGCAGTCTGGGATCAGCCCTGCTGTCACTGTTGCACAGGGGATCGTCACCAACACCCTCCAGCAGCCACAACTGCCCCTTTTCTGCCACCACCCAACCTCGACAAGGTGATCCATAAAGCCGCAACGCGCCATCAACTCGCCCAAGGCCTTCCCTGCCAGGGGAGCAGGCAGTCCCCCAAGCTGTTCCTCGCTCGGGGAGCAGTTATCCCAGCTCCCCGGTTTGGAAATAAGCCACATGGGGTTGGGAATAAGCCAGGAGCCCAGTGGTTAATGTGCTGCCCATCAAGGGACCGAGCTGGCCCTGCAGTAGCCATCTCTTGCGTGCAGGAGCTGGGAGCTTTCCATGGCTAAATGCCGAACTGAGGGGAACCTCAGGCTTGGAAATGACAGGAGGGACCAGAGAGCCACCAGCAGACAAGGAAATAAACTGACATTTAGGTCAAGCTTTCCCATAAGGAAGCAATGGGAGGCTCCAGATTTGGAAAAATATACATATATTCCTAGGATGCAGATTCCCCTGGTACGGGGAGAAGGCAAGAAAAGAGGGCATAAGGGAGCCCTGCACCACGACTCTCAGGATAACCTTCTGCTCTCGCACAGAAACTCCTTTCTCCAGCTGCTGAAACCAGGCACATACTTCCAGCTGTGGGAGGGAATGGAATTTGAGGAGAAGGGAAGAAAGAAACCAGAGAATTTTCTCCATGTCCCATGTGGAAGAGCGCTAAGAGCGCTTCTCCTCAGCATGGACCCTCATTGGCTCCATCTGCAGCAACCCCGACCCACAGGAGCTCGGAGCCAAGGAGCATCCTGCCACTGTCACCCTGCAAAAGGAGCCTGTCCCCCCACGGATGCGTTTTCCATCCTCATTCATCTCTCTGGTACCAGCCAGTGCCAGCCGGTGACAGGGCATCGAGCCCGTGTGACAGGCGGAGCAATGACAGCATAAGGGCCCCATCCTGCTTCTCTGGGAAGCAGCACTGGTGCCCAGGCCAGTGCAGAGCTTCTCACTTCCACACAGTCACCCCCACTGCTGAAAGGCCTTTTGCAATGAGCGCAGGGACAGATCCCTGCCCCACGTGACTCTAGAATTGCTCCGCGTGCTCCTCCCGGGTGCATCTTCAGGGCTTCCAAAACTGCTACTTAACGTGTTCCAAAATACATGCACAGGCCAAGAACTTTGGAGACTGTGTCTCAGAAAATACCTCAGAGGAACGAGACCAGATGTTCAACAACTGGTCTCCAAACAGCTGGGAATTTTAAACTGATTTTCTGTTGCTCTCCATTTGTTTTTACCCACGAATCCTAGGCAGACAGCTATAAACCTTCCCTGCACAGGCAACAGATTAGTTTGCAGGTTCACAAAATGATTCCATTGCACTCTTTGGGCCAGTTCCTCCGGCATATCTTAGTTTAGTACATGTTGCAGCCACGTTGGTACTTCCCTGTTAACTTGTCTCCTCCTTGCAAATCTTAGCAGTTAGAGCATGCAGCAGACAGGGATGTCATCCTGCAGTCTTCCAAGTCTTCTCAGCATGCAGGCACAGACTCGGTCCTGGAAGAGGCACAGGATCCTGAGCCGGTGTAGGAGGCAAAGCCAGGAGCATCCATGGGGCCAGAGCTGGGGCTGCTCCCAGCCCAGCCAAATCGCTGGGGACCCACGGGGCCACCTGTGTCCACTGGCAAGGGGACAGCAAGGGCGGCCTGTGACAGCCGGGAGCAGGAGAGCGCCTTGCGGGAACGCGGCCAGTGCTGGGGGCTGCTCCCTTCTGCACACAGCGGGAGCCACACGCGTCCCCCTCCTGCTCTTCCATCCCAGCTCTGCCACAACCTCCTGCTCCACAAAACCACAGGGCAGGTTTCCCCACGGCCTCAATCCACGCGTCTCCGTCTTCAGCATCGACAGAGCCCAAGCCCCTCCTGGTCCTGCGCAATGCGCCGCGTGCAGGGAAGCGCTCGCCTCCCTTCTCTCACCCTCTTTCCCCTCTTGTCCTCCACAGCAGCTCTGTTCTTGCACATTTGGGATGCTCTGCAATCCAGGCGCAGCGTCGGAGCCTCCGAGTTCCCTGCAGCCATTAAAGCCAAGGCAAACAGCCACGGAAGCTGCTTGGATAAGAGAGCAGCTGGGAAAGGCCCAACTGCGCTTTAGTAACACACTCCGGGTTATTGTGCACCAGCAACACGGCAAAACACACACTGACTGTCACGGGCCAGGGACAGGGCTGCCATATATATGTCTGTATAGATATATATGTCTCATAAGCAACAGGAGCTGTGCTAGGTCCTACACTACACAGACTCCCTCCATCACTTGCCGTGGAGCAGCAGCAAGAGCCATATGCAAGAGTTGATCTTCACTGTAATGAACCCAGGCGGTGCAACCCCTTGCAACTAAGAAGAAAAACAAGTGAGCAGCAAGTACAACCTTCCCTGGGGTAAATCAGTGCAGCATCATTTATTTACATGTTGAAAGGAATAATTGCACCTAACCTTGACTCTAAATAGCCGCGTGTAATGGGGCAGACATCAAGCGCAATTAAATTCAACATGAACAGCATTAAACAACAGCTCCCAACTCTCAGCCAGGGCCATCCGTCAGCTCCCAAGCTCCCTGAGCCTCTCCAGAGGCCCCTGCACCAGCTGCAATAGCTGTTCCTGGGCTCTGGGTGAGCCTTGGCCCATCCTGGCCACCAGCTAAAGCTCATGGCGGGGGGAAGGTGTTTGAGGACACGGGGCAAAGCGCAGCAGCCTTGGCCTTCACTGGGCCCAGCAGATGTTGAGCCCTTGCGAGCAGAGGCACCTTGTCCCACGGCCTAAATGGTCACGTTGCCCAGCGAGCCCACGAGATGTTGCCCAGGTACCTGTTGCTGGTCCCCAGCCTCTTTCACTCAAACACAGCCTTCCACAGGTTCTGCCTCGGGATCTTCTGAAGTTTGTCCGGAGACACAGACCCATAGGAGCCATGGTCAGTGCTAGGAGCAAGAGAGATCTGAAGATGTTAAAGCTCTTTCCTGCATCGTCCCCACAGTGCCACAGGTTGGGGACCCCCAGGAGTCCAACAGGTGGGAAGAGAGGGCTCAGCTACAAGGGAATGGTGGATACGAGACAACAGGGGCTGCCTTGGCCAGCGTGCGCATCTTGATGGCTGCCACTCTCTAGAAGCACTAAAGGAACCAACTTCCCCACATCCTTCCAGCCTGGAGCCTCCCAGGCCCTTATGCTCAAAATGGAAGAGCCAATTTGCTGCTCAGAGCTCAACCCCATTCTTTCTTCTTCCCCTCTTCTCCCCAAATGCTGCCTGTTTCCCCCATTCAATTATTGCCGACAGAGCCCTTTAAATTACAACGCAGAATCCTGTGCTGCCTAATCCACTTAACTCAACCCCAGCTGATTAAATTGGATGCCATATGGTGGGCGAGCACTGATGTAATCCACAGGGACGGGGACGTTCTTGACTCTTTTCCCGAGCCCAGCACAGACCCCTCTCCTTGCTGCATCGCTCCGGCAGGACAGGACAGATTCACACTGTGCCAGTCACCAGCAGCAACACAGGCTCCATCAGCTCACGTCAATACAGCCCCGAGCAGCCTAAAGGCACAAATTCCCATCCGGCTCTGCCGGCTGCTCCCGCTGCTCCCCAGCCAGGTTACCGCACGCTCAGTCCCCCAAGGGCACTTTGGAAATTGGAGGAATTTCACGGCTGTAGAATCGGTGAAGGACGTCTGCCCACGGGGATACGTGCCAACATCTTGATTACGCTCGTGGCTGCGATGGCAGCTCCCAGACCAGGTCATGGGGAAGTTATGGTTATTATAATTAAGAAGGTCACATCGTAGACTAGCCACGAGTGGCAGATCCTGCTCTGTCCACACCATGGCATTGCCAATCCTTGTGTATCCACAAACTGCAAGACGACCATGGTGGAAATTAAAAGAATAATAGCACACATTAATAACTCTTCCTCACCTTCTGCTGTTAGAGGCTGTGTGTCAGATTTCCAGTCTGGAAATTCACCTTTTAAAGCTCTGTGAAAACTGGGAACCCCTGTGAGCCCAGCAGACAGGGCTTACAGCAAACAACCAAGGGCTGTGAATGTGGAAGGGTTTTGCAGGAGGCATCGGCGCCGTCCAAGAGCCACAAACAGCATCACCTGAGGCATGGAAACACCTGACAGTGCCAGACATGCAGGGCTCTGGGTATTCTTTTAAAGCAAGAGGTGACAAATCCAGTGCTTCAGCTGACCACACAGTTAACAACCAATTCCCTGCACTTCTCCTCAGGTCCAACTATGTCTGCCTTTAAAGCTGAAAGTTTTAAAGGTTGAGGGAGTGGAAAAGGGAGAATATGAGGTGGCTGTCCCTCAACAACCTCTGCATCACCAGGTTCCCTCAAGCTGCAGCCAAAGCTTCAGTGCACGCATGGAAAAGCCAGGAAAGCCCCAGGCCTCTTCCCTGCCCATCGCTTACCACTGGTGACAGCAGGGCAGCAGTGGCCAGGAGAACCAGCACTGCAGGGACGCTGGGGACAACCTGTGTGACCGGCGGGTGCTGGTACCCACAGGGACCACGAACCCGGAGGAAGACGAGCACCCGCTGGCGGTGTTGGGTGTCCTCGGGGCACGCAGGGTTTTATTACTCGTGTCAATCTATTAGCAAGTGATGGATGGAGGCCAAGGGGGGAGGAAAGACACTCCCTTCATTAGAGATAACAATATAATTTACAGAGCATCCAGCAGCCTCACGGAGCTTTACAAACCTTGCTCTCATCCTGATAGATGCTGAGCCCCTCGCAGCCCCCTCAGGCCTCAGCAGCCAGGGCTGGGGACACCAAGGGTTGGCCATGGCCAGGCCTTGGGGACCTGGCGGCTGGGAGGTGAAGTCCCTTCCGTATGTGGCCGACTTAGGGCAGGTTAAGGCCTGGATGAAGTTCCCCTTCCTGCACTGATGGGTATTTTCCCCGCTTTGTTCATTCCCTTCTCCCCAGATGTGCACAGATTTCCAAACCAGCACTGCCTGCATCTGGAGCACATCTGGCCGGGCCGCTCGGCCCTGTCGCTGCTGTCACCACAGCACAACCGCGTGTGGAAAGGGACCTGCCAAAGCGGTTCCTGTTATTCCTAATTGTGCCTGTGCCCCTCGACTCTGCTGACCCAGAACCCTGCTCTGGGCCTCCAACTAAGCAGCTTTCCTAGGAGCTGCCACATGAACCGCCTCTTCCTGCAGCCTTTGGGATCAGGGGACTCATTCTAAGAGTCCCCAGAGCTTACAGGCTTAAGCCTACTGTATGAGGAGGGGTTTCCTCCCCTGGAAAACTTCCAAGCTTCTGGAAACCACAAAAAGATTGAAAACCTCCGGATTTAAGAGAGATGCAGGGCAGAGAAGGGGCAAGAACTGGCCCAAGGAGCATGAAGGCTGCAAGGGGCTGAGGACTTAAGTGTGAGGACACTAGTGACCAAGCACCCCAGCCCTGCAGCACACATCCACCAGCGCCAGCAGATACCATCTGTGGATGAGCCCTTGAGTAGATGTCTCTGCTTCAAAGGGCTGGTCTTCAAAAAAAAAAAATTGCTTTCTCCAGCAAAATAGTGAGCCCCAAAGATTTGGTTCCTTACACAGTTGCTACCCCGAGCCCCTGGTGCTGCAGAGAGGCAGTCCAGTGCAGAACGTCTTTCAGTAGCAGACTCAGACTTTGATGCAAACCAGCAAAGCCCAGGGGTCTCCTCGCATTTCACAGACTCAGATTTTTAAGCCCAAGTTCCTAAGGAAACACAGTTTCCACGGTTGATCTGTCAAATGATCCCGTAACCCACAGCCAGTTTCCGTGCACCCCGGTGAAGGGGTTCGGTCACAGGGATATCACCTTCCTTTGGGTTTTGTGAGTAAATGAGCAGCTGAGCAGACAGCGATCGTGCTCAGAGGGCAGGGGAAGTTCAGCTGTATTTTAGACACAAAAATATCTACAGAGGCAGGGGCAAGTATGAATAATTCACCTGGAAGCTGCTCTGGGCAAGCAGAGGAAAGTGTAGCCTTCACTACAATGGAAGTGAAGGCAGTGGGAACCCCACTTGCAAAACGCCCTGGACTTTGTCTCCGTTTTGGCTTTTCTTGCAGTACCTGACAAAGCAGCTCGAGATGTTGCGGCAGATGAATGAGCAGCACGCGAAGGTCTACGAGCAGCTGGACCTGACGGCGCGCGACCTGGAGCTGGCAAACCAGAAGCTGGTGCTCGAGAGCAAGACGTCGCAGCAGAAGATACAGTGGTGCGGGTCCCTCCTGCCCCAGCGCGCTGCTGGTTCACATAGGGCCCCGGCACCCTTGGGACGAGGACTTGGGAGCTGCCAGGAGGGAGGCACAGCAGCCTCTCCTCCTTGGCATGGGTTTTTCCTAGAAGGAGAGGAAAATAATCATCAGGGAGGGCCAGAGCAGACAGCCAGGGACAGAGCTGCTAGGGAAACCCTGTCCAGCCTGTGCTGAAACCCCAGTTTGTCAACAACTTCCTAAAACAGGCCCAGGCCCAAGGTCATCCCTGCAAACAACAGGCTGCTGAGCCAGGTCCTTGCGATCCTGCATCTTTTGCAAGTGGCTGCACAGAGAGGGGATTTTAGCACAGGGAGTTTTACCAGCTCAACAGCCAGGATAGAACCGTGTTTCTGGACAGTCTGTCCTTGTTTATTTGTGCAGGAGAAACAAGCAGAGAATGAATGGGTGCCAACTTGCCTGAACCTTCCCAAGAGAGAGACACCCCAAGATAGTGCTGACACCCCAGAGGTGACAGCTCATGCCAGAACAGGTCATTAACATTAACATGACCCCCTATTTCAATCGCCCACACTGCTCTGGAAACACCAGAGGGGCCAATGAGAGGGACCAGCCCCTGCCATGAAAAGCAAGGGCTCCTCGGCACACACGAGGAACCCAGGCTCCGCAGATGGGCTCTCTCCTTACAGGGAGGAATGTTGGGAAGAGCCGTGGCCACGTGCCTGCCTCCTCACCTATGCTCTCTTTCTTTCTCTCTCTGCCTCACTGCAGCTTGACAGAAACCATCGAGGGGTTGCAGAACCAAGTGGAGGAGCTGCAGAAGCAGGTGGAGGAAATGCGGAGCTTGGAGCAGCTGCGCATTCGGCGGGAGAAGAGGGAGCGGCGCCGAACCATCCACACCTTCCCCTGCCTCAAGGAGCTCTGCTCCAGCCCCAGGTACGGAGGAGCAGGGAGGGCTCAGCCCCCGCTCTGACATCCCCCCCATTCCTGGGGGGACCCACACACCCATGCGTGCAGGTCCAGGGCTGCATCAGAGCTTAAAACGTGAGGATGGAGATGATGCTTTTGTGCCCACCTTGGTTGTTGGCGAAGCAGAGCCTTCCTAACATCCA